TTTCATTCAAATACAACTTATTTATTGTATAGTTTAAGCGGACTCATTCGTTTATCACTAAAATTCGTTTAGTTTAAACCTCAATCTCACTAATTTTATGTCGATTTACATAAAATAATCGGATAGTGTTGAATTTTATCGGGTCTAGCTATGAGGTCGTGATTATGGTTGGACAGAAAGGTTTTGTTCCATTTGGATGGTTAGCTTGAATTAGGAATTGTTTGTCACACCTGTCAAAGCAGAAGGCATTATAAGATTATCATAATTGATTGCTATATTGAATTTAACATTAAAAAAAAAAAAGATAAAATAAATAAATAATGCACGACGGAATCAAGTAGATTACACAGTCTCAAGATCATATCATGACAGCTCATGAAATAAAATAAATAATAAATAATAAATAATAAATCCCCCAAACATAAAATTGATTGAAAGTGTCTAATCAGAACACCTCAATTATTTATTAATTAATTAGGGGTGTCAATGTCTTGACCACCTCTTCTGCTAAAAAACAAATGAATTGTTATATGTCATTGTCACACAGGCTTAAGCCAGTGGGCCGATTACTAAATCCCAGTGGGCTTGATAAACGTTTTAGAGAAATATGGAGGTGGGTTGGCGTTTGTCGAAGAAAATTTATTTATTATGAAGTCTATGTTTTGTCAATTTTATAATATTATTTTTTCTCTTTAAAAAAGAAATAAAATTTAAAATTTAAAATTTTTGAATTTTAGAAGTTTGACTAACATTAAAAAATAATATTTCTCACATCTATTTATATTCATATATAGGTTAAGATATATGTATATATAGTAACAGTCAAATACAAAAAAAAAAGACTATTTAAACAAAAAAAAATAGTAACATTCAAATACAAAAAAAAAAAAGTATCATTTAAATACAAAAAATAATATCATTTAAACATAAAAAAAATAGTAACATTTAAATACAAAAAAAAAATATCATTTAAATACAAAAAAAGAGTAACATTTAAATATAAAAAAATAGTAACATTCAAAAAAATAACAATAGTAACATGTTTAACAAAAATAATAACATGCTTAATAAAAATAGTAACATTTTTAAAAAAAAAATAGCAATATAGAACATTGAACAAAATTGAAAATAAAATAGTAGCATTCAAACCCCTAACTAAACTCCTTCCAACTCACATGAGTAGAGTGAGTTAGGAAAAATATTGTGAAAATTGGGGTGGAATTCTCTTAAATGGACTTATAATGACTTAGAGTCCGTCAAAAAAATTTATTTGAGAGTAAGTTCGTTTTTAATCTTATTAGTAAGAAATTAAGTCCATTTTTTTTTAATCTCAAAAATACCTTTAACAGTGTTAATTTGGTCTATGAAAAGTTGAAGACATTATCTACAAGGAGCTATATATGGAAGCCAATGATTGAATATAGGAATGCTTGATTTATAATGGTAATTGTTGATTACAAGTTTTCCATAATACTTCAAATTCAAATTCTTAGTCATTATTTTGTTTGTTATACATTTAAATAATCAACTTTTGAGATTTGAGACTAATTTGAAAAGAATGAAGATTAAAACTAGAGTACAAGCTCGAGATTTTGAAATGTAATATGGGCAGTGCACACCAAGTGTTTGATGTTAGCATAATAGCATCAGTCTTCGAGGAGTATACTAACTAAACTCCTTCCAACTCAAATTAACAAGGTTTTTATCCGCATCATTTACAGTTGGGTACACGAATCGTGTTTCTTTATTATGTTCTATTAATTGTCATATTTTGTGTTTATTTTTTTATTTGAAAAAAAAGTTTGCAGGGATAACCAAGGTGAAACTCCTGCTTGGGAGTGACCATAGTAGCCTCAACCACGGGAGAAGCCCACCAATAGGACTTAAACGGCAGGTGATTGCAGGTCCTCTGAAAGGCAAACTCGAACTATAGCCTAATCAAGCACCTAGCGAGAGTAACGGGTGTCAGTTTGAATTGAACTCTTCTCGAAGACTTCATGAGAGTCGAGAGGTCCCTAAACGAGACACTAGACCACAAGTCCAGCGATCCATAATTTTCATTAAACTATAAATTATCATATTTTTTTTTTAACTATTTCTCTTAAATAGATTTATTATCGTGTCAGGTAATAAATCATGTTATATCATATTTGTGTCGTGTATAAATCATGTATAACTATTATATAAACAAATCGAGTCATGCATTTCTTTTAATTTACTTCACCTATACACGATTTGTTTATTAATTGTGTTATATTGAGTCCATATGTTTATAAAATATGTGACTTAAGGAACGGTTAAATCTTTTAATTTTGTATCATATTAATAAATCGTGTTATATTTTGAGATGCCTATTCTCAAAATTATTCAATATCTATATCTTTTTGGTGCATTACCGTCAATTAAACTACTGTGCTCGCTCGGATTGGTATATCATATTGTATATTTTCAATCATATTTTAGTTGAAAAAAACAACCATTTTTACCCCATATATATATATATATATAAATATATATAATATTTTGTATGCTGGAGGATAAATATGGCTGTTTAGATTTGATCCTTAATTTTTTTGACCGTTGAAAAAGGTTGAAGTTTTTCAATTAAAATATTATTTTTTTGGTAGAAAGAAGAAAATATATAAGAAGCCATTGAGTCGGAATAATTACATTTTGTATTCAAGTATGCTTTTTTCTTTACTCGAGACCATTGCTAACATCGCTACCGAGTAAGAATTTGAATTTATTCGTTTAATATTTGAGTCTGAGTTTCTATAATTATGGCAATTTTATTGAATTAAATCTATTCTTTAATATTCAGAGTATACTATACGACAAGATCATAATTTCAACTTTAATCTAAATACTACGAAATCTCTTATAAATTTATATAAAAAAGTAGTTTACAATTCAAATCTCAAAAGATAAATAAAATGATTTTTATTATTCACTGTTGAGATCGTTTTAAATTTTACTTTAAAGTTAATCTAAAGGCTAATATTAACACCTTAAATTTAATAGAAAAAATAGACTTCTAAAAGTGTGTTTGGATTAATTTTTTAAAAGTACTTTTAAAAATTATTCCTTAGAATTACTTTAAAAAAAATAATAATACGAAACCGTCCCACCACTACTTCTATCACCACTATCCTCACCTAGGGGTGCAACTTGGGTTGGGCAACCCGATTTTAACCCGAGCCCAACCAAAAAAATTAGAACTTGGATAAGAGTTTTTAATACTTTGATTGGGCTTAGATTAAAAAATTTTGATCCGAATTCAATTTGGATTGGGCTTGAGTTAAGGTATCGGGTTCACAAGTTCAACCCGAACCCGACAAATTAAAAAAAAAAATTACATATATAAAACATTAGCACTGATTTTTTATTTTTGTTTTATCATTAACTGTCTCTCTCATTCATTTTCATTTTTGTTCTAACATTAGCACTGTTAAAAACTTGATTGAAGTTATTGGTTGTTAATTTAGGTAAATATTATGTAATATGTGTATTAGGTTTAGAACAACAAGCTTATTTTGGGCTCTACCCAAACTCAACCCGAATTGAATTCCGTAAAATAACCCGAAATCATTAATCCGAGCCTGTCTGAATTAAACACGGACAGTGCTCAAGTTGAGTTCCTCAACCCGAAGTAGGGTTAATATTGAATATTATATACCTAGGGTTGAGTTAGGGTTAACTGTCCAACCTACGCCGAGTTGCACTCCTATCCCCACCACCACCACTACCATTGCCGCCACAGCTACCGTCGCCACCATCACTGTCGTCACCACCACCACTGTCGTTGTTGCCAACACCTCCACCTCCACCTCCACCTCTGTCACCACCATTACCACCACCACCATCACCATCACCACCGCCGTTGGTGCCACCACCACACCCATCACCAACAATACCACCACCTTCGCCCCCACAGCTACCACAACTACCGCCGTCACTGTCACCGTCACTGTTGCCACAACTGTCGCCACCATCACTACCATTGTCGTCGTCGCCCTCACAGCCATTACGGTCATTACCACCACTACAACCATAACCGTCTCCTACCACCACCTCTCACTCCCACTAAAAATGAATACTTAAATTTTTTTATGTTTTTTTTATGTTTGTAATTTAATTTTAGATATGAATATAAATATATTTTTTATTTTTTATTTTTTATTACACTGTACTTTTAAACCCAAGTAATAACTAATAATTGTATAAAACTAAATAATTATATTTTTTTACAAATACGAGGAGTGACGTTTTGTTTGTTTACCCAAAAAACAGAAAACCACGGCCACCATCAAAGTCGCTTTCCGTGACAAAGCGTGGGCCCCCAATTTCAGTGGGCTGTTTCTCACAAAAGTCCAGAAAACAATAAAACAAGGAAAATTAAATCAGTGGGCTCAACTACTCAATCAAGGGCTCTCTTCAGTGGTCTCAGTTGTCATTATTGATCTACCCATCCAGTGATTTCTTGACACGTAACCCAATCGTCGACGCATGTGGGGTCACACCTCGGATCAATCCCAATCATTGGACATGGACGTTTCTTTTAAAATTGGCCACTGACAAGTGTCATATTAGAAAATCACCTTTTTTATCCATTTTAATGCTCGAATAAAATTACTTATAATTATTCTNCATGGACGTTTCTTTTAAAATTGGCCACTGACAAGTGTCATATTAGAAAATCACCTTTTTTATCCATTTTAATGCTCGAATAAAATTACTTACAATTATTCTTGTCCCCTTTTTTTCTATCAAACCGAAGTGTTTGAATTAATTTATATATATTTTACCTAATTTTTTCTTTAATTTGCTTAAAGTTAAACTTAATTCATTTTCAAAATATATTCTTATGATAAAGCCCTAAAAAATTATCAAAATTTGTATTAAAAATATTTAAATTTATAATTTGTTCTTATTACTGAGTTATTTTAAATATTATTCCCTTGCCCTTTTGTTGCTATCATCACACTAAAATTTTCAAACCAAACCATGGGCTTAGTCTAACCACTCCGCCATCATATATACCTAAGCCAGAGAGAGAGAAAAGAGAGATTGGATTGAGAGTTGTGAGCAGCAATACAAATCACATACCCAAATCCTTCTTCAAGTGATTTTTGATACAAGAGAGTCATGTTTTGCAAAAATTCTAGGCCGGTAATCGAAAAGCTGACCGGAAAATTGGTTTCCGGCAGCTGGGTCAAGCTAAGGGATGGAACTATAAGTCCAAGAAGTCCTTTGGAGTTCAAGATTCAATCACCAAGAGGTGTGAAGAATTTGAATTATGATGTTGGTGGGGTTGGATTGGGTATTGTGGCCGCCCTCGACAAGTCCGATGAGAATGGCAATAAAATTCAGGTCACTAAGAAGGCAGCCTTGTGTAGTCTGAATTTGAATCGGTCTAAACCAATTCCGGTTGTTTCAGCTAGACATAGAGGAGGTTCTGAGGAAATGGACATGGATGATGGTTTGGAAGATTATACCTTTGTGACTTGCCATGGACCTAACAAGTCCCACACCAGAGTTTATTGTGATGGAGGAGAATATAGAGGTAGACAACATAAAATTGAGCCTGTTACTACTGATCAGAGAAGATCTACAAGCGTTCGTGCTTGTGTCTTTGACATATCGCCGGCAAGATTTGGAGACGTCCCGGCGTACCCGGCCTCCGACTTTCTCAGTTCATGTCACTTGTGCCAGAAAAAGCTTCATGGCAAAGACATATACATATACAGGTAAATTTTTCAAAGCTTCTCCTATGTTTGTTTCCCTATGATTCTCACTCAATTTCCTTACTTTTGCTGCTTTAAACATATCATTTACAACCTCACACAACACCCATCTTTTGTGGGCTGTGTGTGTGTGTGTTAGCTTGATAAAATTACTGTAAAGAACTGGGATTAACGATTGATGGGTACAAATTTTGCAGGGGAGAGAAAGCATTTTGTAGCACAGAGTGCAGATACAAGCAGATAGTCATGGATGAGCGCAAGAAACAATGCAGCTCTGAAGCTTCGAGATCTGCAGATGTTTCAAACTCGCCTTACACAAATGGCCAGATGTTTTCAACTGGCATTCTAGCAATTTAGAATGTATACAAACATATATCCACACCACAGCCATGACTAAGTTCATGGTACTCTGTGAATGTGTATACGGGAATACTACTACTATATATGAGATTGAGTATATTGTTGAAGTCTTAATTCCTTTTTCACTTTCTTCATATGCAGTTATAAGAGAACTTTTTTGAACTTGCAGTTTGATCTTACATTCTTGATGATACACCCAACCAAAAAAAAAAGTAATCATCATAATTAATCATCTTCTTAATCTTCTACAAATCGGGTCAGGATTCGATCATCAAAAAGCCTACCGCCTAATATTGTGGTTCACTAATTTGTGCATGGATGCTAAAGTTGTTATGAAAGTAAAGATGAACATTAGTCTAGTCTCGATTTCAAGTGCAATTGTACTGGCGTTCTCCAAGTTTACTATGCATCTTCTACACTTATTCTTGAACACTTGCTGCTTTAGTATCAGATCTTTGCATGTGGTTCTTCCTTTCACCAAAAAATTGAACAATAACGATAACCAATGTGTACACCCCCTGTAGTCAAGGCCAAACAACTATTATGGCCGTTTCATGATCCTATACGTTTGGTACTGAGACATATCAAGAAACAGGCAGCAAACGCAAGAAATGGCAACTTTAATAGTCCCATCCGCAATTTTTATCTTCGTACTAACAAAAAGTTATAATATCCAGAACAGAAGCATCGTCAAACTCTGAAGGAAAAACTGCAAAAAAGATATTGAATAACCAGTCCACACTAACTGCTAATATTGAATAATTAGATCCACTTTAAATTTAAAACTGTATTTAGGAGTAGGGAAGAGCTTCAAACAATTCATCATCCCCAACTGGAAATACAAGCTACATAATTCATACACCAGCAGGTATCTGAACCCCGGTTAAAAGAGAGGACATAATGAAAAGCAACCTACAGTGTTCAACACTAATTTCCGGTCTTCCAATCAATAACAGGAGTTTCTACATAGAATTAGTAGTACATAGGCGGCTGGCTCGTAGCAATGCTTGTATACCCTCCGTCATAGAAAGCCTGAGCAGCACCCATTCGCTGACCCTGCAGATGCATCATTGCTTGTGCACCACCCATTTTACTCAACGCAAGCTGGCGTTCATAGGCTGCAAGGTCAGCAGCTGAAAAACCTGGCATATGAGTGGCAACTGGTAGAGGAAGAGGTGTAGAACTGGTTCCTGGTGGAGTAGGCTTGCTACCCCATGAGCACTGCATACAAAATTATTGATGAACAAAAGTTGGTTCACAGGAAATTATCACAGAACTCAAAAAACCAACTCATGAAAGATAAGTCCACCCACTGCACAACTTGAAAACAATATGCATTCACCACCACATGCAATTTCAACCATTTAAAGTTAAATCCATTTCATACTTCGCAGTTTCAACTTTCCATATCTTTAACAAACCAGAACTGTTGACAGATGCCACAATGATGGATTGTTAGACAAATTATATTTGAAAAGTACACTCCAAGACACATATTTCACATGTACAACTTGCATGTCAAGGAAGTTGTGTCATTTAACAAAACGATAAATGACGCAAGCTCTCCACTTCCCCTAAGAGAGATGATCTTGGCCAATTCCTTAGATAGTGCCTGAATACCGTCAAATTAACTAATACAGTCAAGTCAATGGATACTGTTTAGTGATGCACGAACACTCCCAATTCTTTTTCTTCTTTACATGCAGGGAGAGAGAGGCACATGTCCGGATCTCATTCATAACTTATAAGATAAATGGTATTTATTGCTAACTCGCACCAATTTGAGCTACCAATATAAATAAACAGCAATAATGCATGATTGAGCAGATCCCAAAACCGTGAAACCAAAACTAGCTCCAACTTTACCCTTTTAATCATATAACACAAACCTAATACACAGAAAAAAACGTGCATTAATGCACAAGATAAAGTACATGCCTCAACAAAATTTTATCAGGTTGCAATCAAAAAGATTAGTTGTCATTTCTTATAATGTCACTCCTAAGAACATTGACAAAAGATATAGAGGAAGACATGGAACACTGATAGAGTATAACACCAATATTTTTGTTAAAGAGAAGGGGAAATAACACAAGATTACCTTAATTGGTTTGCCATAGAGAATCTGGGCGTTGCCCATCTGAATAGCCCGAGCTGCTTCAGCATGGTTGCTGTATCTTACAAAGCCAAAGCCTTTATCACGCTGTATCCGGACATCTTCAATGGTTCCAACACCAAGAGCATGGAAATGATGGTGGAGATCAATTGAAGTAACCTGCAATATTTTTTTGTGAGATGCACAAGCAAGACCAGTGTGTTTAAGATATATCACTAGGACTTCAACACAAGTATGTGACACATATAATGACAAGACGAAACTACACTAATGAGGCAAGAGAACACAGTAAAAAAGCTAGTGCTTTGCTGCTATAGCATTTTTAGATCGAAGTGAATTGAGTTTATCTACTGCAGTACTAGATGCAGGGCTTTATAAAAGATTACTCTAGAACCCTAAGAGACGAGAAAAGAAAGGGCTAAAAAGGAAATGAGCTGTTTAAGGATTTTATTTTCTAATTTTCTTAAGGAGGAATGGAAAAAGCATCACAAATCCTACCATGTGCTTCAGGAAGCTATATTGGAAGTGCCATATGCACCAAGATGGGAAAGGAGAGCTCAAAAAACATGGAAGGAAGGTGGCCAAAGGCACTACTTGGACGGTCAACCAAAGTGACCTGATCCCCCTTACGGTGTATGGATGCATAGATGCAGGGGCGGAGGGAGGGTGAGGGCAATGGGGGAAGTTGCCCCCACTGAATTTAAATAAAAAAATTGGGGTCCATTTAAAATTTAAAGAAATTTATAAGTTTTATAAATTTTCCCCCACCGAAATATTTCAAAAAATTTAGAGTGAGTATCATATTTAAAAATTAAATGGGATTCTTTCGTGCATAAAAATTTTAGTTTTGCCATTAGATCAAATTTTGACATGAATCCGCCTCATTCTAAATACTATTAGCGAGAGAACAAATTGATATTTTTGACCAACTATTTAGTGTCGAATTGGTTACATAATTTTCACAAATAAAAAATTGAATTTTACCAAAATTTGATATGATTTTTGATTCAGTCTGACTTATATATATAGGTATATGATGAGACTGAGTGTTCTTTGGTGAAAATTGAATTAATTTAGTAAATCCAATTCTAGTTGACTCACAAAGTCGGCCGATTTTTAATATATAACTTATTTGGCTATGGACTCTAAAAATAAAATCAACAGATAATCGAAACGAATTCAAAAATGATTTTTTAAATCAATTTTGGTACAGAGTTTTTCAGAATTTGGATCACACTAAATCTTATCGAAATCTGATTGTTGAAGACTACTCACTATTTGTTCGCAAAACACAAGTTTTGATGATTTTCATTCGATTTTTCTCTTCAAACTGACGGTATGTTTGCATGGTTATGTGATAAGTAAATAATATTGCATGATTTTATATTTCAAACCATTCATCTTAACTTTGTTTATTAGTTATATGTTTTATTTTAGTTTAATTTTGTGTTTTATGGAGAATATTTGTGGTTGCAGGTAAATGAATGTAGGAGTAAGGTTTTATATACATTTGATGCTATGGAAGACTTTGGGAATTAATTAGGAGATTCAAGCGTTGAGCCAAGAGCATTACAAACAAAATTTGGGAAAAGGCTAGTCCTACCGGTAGGTCTTCTACCAGTTCAATAGTGAGCAAAAATTGATTCTACTAAAAGTTCATTCCTATAGGTAGAAGTAAAGCAGAGACATATTTTATCGGTAGGTGAGTACTGTTCTACCGATAGGTTGAACACAAAAAAGTGTTTTACCAATAGAAGAGCAAGGTAACCGGTAGAAACAAAACAGTGAACAGTTCTAGTACCATTTTGTTGCGATGACTCCTTCTCCCAGGCGTTAACTGACTAAATATTTAGGGATATCTTCCAAAAACTTCCAAGACTTTATTGGAGGAGCAAGCAAGATACAAGATAGGAAAGGAATTTTAATTGGCCAAATCTTAGAAATATTATAGAAAATATTTTCGTAAATTTTATAAGAATAAGAGTTGGACATAAAAGGAAAGAAGATTCTAAAAATTAGTCATATCTCTCTTATTCTCCTATAAATATCAACCCTTGGGAGCTTTGGAGGGACACCGTTCTTCCTCCTTTGGCATTCTCCAAGGAGGGCCGCCCCTCCTCCTCGTTCTTCTTAAATTGTTTAATTAGTTCGCGAGCTCAAGTCTTCTTTATTTTCAACTCCGTTGAACAATTTACGGTATTTTAATTATTTTCTTGTAATTGCTTTTTAATTCTAATTTCAATACAAGTTTTATTTATTTACTTTAAATTACCATGTCTTTCATACTTGCTTTTAATTCAATTTACTTTATGAGTGACTAGTCGTTTACCAGTTTGATCGTATGAAATAGTCTCATCCATGAATTGGAGATTTTGACTCAAAACTACGGCTTGTCTACTGTTGAGTTATTTGGATTAATTGAATGATTTAAATTGAAGACGCTATCGATTTGTATATCTTCTTACTTACCTATTGACAACTAAGACTTGACATATGTAATTCTTGTAGTCACTGCAATCGAAGTGAATTCTTTTTAATCAATTTAATTGTCTTGAATACACATTTACCATTTATAATTGGGTGTTAAACAAATATTTATCGCTTGAGTGCGTTTGACCACAATTTTAGGTGTGTTATAGAGTTTGAGTTAGAATGTTTATTTATGGTGAGATGTACTCTAAAGATTAACCGCTTGTCTTAAATTATTGTATTTTAGTTTACTTGTTTTCAAAACCCCTTCTCTCTAAAATTCAAGAGTTTTATTTTTTTTTTGCGCACCACCTTTTGAATTTGTCCTTCATTTTTTTTATGGAAACGATCTTAATAATTGACCAAGTTCCTAAATGATAATCTTCCTACGCTTGGGAAACCTTAATTTTTAACCTCTTTTGAGAGCAAGCATTTTTGGCGAGGAAAAGCAAGCGTACAAATTTGGAAGGCAATTTAGATCAACAATAAGTAAGTTTTGTGATTTTCATTATAAACTCAGATACGTTTTTCCATTATCTTTTTGCTTATATTTTTTTTTACTTTATTTGAATGAAGTCATATGCTTCATCTATGGAGTATATGTGTGAGATATGTACTAAGTGTGGACATATCGCTGACGAGTGCCCTTTAATTTCAATGTTTCGAAGGTTTCTGTGGGATGAGTCAATTATATTGCCTAATTCTTCATAACCTTACCCCAATCATTATTTTGAAACATTCTATCCCAATTTTTGTTAGGGAAACGAACATTATCAGTTATCGGTATATTCCACAACACCACAAGCAGCTCTCCAATATCCCTCGTACCATGACCCACAAGAAGAGAGATTGGAGAATATTTTGAATGAATTTACGCAAACCCGACTAACCTTCAATGCCCAAACAAGCCAAAATATTGAAAAGATAAAAGTTATGTTCAGCACATTGACCATAGTATTTAATAATTGATCCAAGAACAAAAAGTTGAGCATAGTCAATGTAGTGAAAGTAATTCTTTTTCTGAATTACAAACTGATGATCAATCTATTAATACTCTTAATAATGAAAAATTAAGTAACATTATTATTCTACAAGAGGTTGATGAGCCCAAAGACCTTTCATTATCAAAGAGTATTAATGAGATTCACATATCCAAGCTTTGTGAGGGTATGAAAGTTGAGTTGTGTACTATAATTGATAAAGATTTATTTTTTATCTCATTGTTGGATCTGCATAAAAATGTTTATATTTTCCTTTTCTTGAATGTTCCAAAGATATGTTAGGTGTATGAGTGGATACTTCGATTAAAGTAATTGCTTAGACACCATGTTTTTAAGCCATTAAAAATAAAATGACGCATATTCAAATCTGACTTTAAATTAAATTGATTATGAGCTTTTACTTTTACATGTACATAATAGTTAGAATTATTTTTATTATTTTTTTTGTATTTTGTTATTATTATTTTTTAGATTGCACACACCTTTTTACCTTGTACCCATTATTATTTGGAATTTCATGTTAATATCTTTTGTTGGGCGTAGTGTTGGATCTATGTTAGGGGGTGTGTGCATATTTTTTTGAATGCTTTATTATTTTTTATTTTCTAGGTGATTTAGTAGTTTGTTATGCTTATTTCTTTTTGTGCAATTTAATTTTTTATTTTGCAGTCGGTGATTTTATTGTTGGAGCTTATTGTCAAGTGTTTTCTTACCCTTTAATTTTTTTCCATTACATTATTATATTTTGCATTAAGGACAATGCATAATTTAAGTTGGGCGGTGAGAGTTACACCACCATGTGCTATAAAAAAATTGAAAAAAATTTAAAAATAAAATCTTATGTGGACTATATTTTTCTCTCTTAATTAGGATAATAAGGCATATTCTATGTTTGAGTCTCATATTCATGTTTTTATTTGAAACTCAATTTTATTCTTTCAATAATCTGATTATTTTTTGTTTTGATTAGTGTAAATAAGGTGACTAGTTGATTATATCTCAATGCTAGAATATCTTGCTATGTATTTTTGAGAACTAATTTCAGGTCATTTTTGAATCAATTTGAACCTTAGCATATTCTTTCTTGATACCATCCGAAGTGGCCGTGATTGAGCTTTAATGAAAATTTCATTTCTTAACCATGTAAATCACCAAGCCAAGCATAAATGTGTTTATCTTACCTTGGTTATTTTGGATTTATATTGTTTATAATTTGAAAAAGGGAATGGTGGCTATTAGAAAATAAAGAAAACAAAAAAGCAAGAAAAATGAGGATGATGAGTATTTGAGTTTATTGCGGAAATTTGAAAGAAAGAAAAAAATAAAAAAATAAAGTATCTTTGAAAAAGTGTTGAAAAGTGAAAGATAGACAAATACATGTCTTGAGCTATTATTTCCAAAGAAGGAGATTTTGGTGAAAAATTATATTTCTAGGACGATCTTTTGAATTCCTTATTATCCTCCGATTCTATAACCCATTCACCCAATGCCACATTACTACCAGAGAAAAGTCCTATTTGATTTTAAGAATCGTGGTAATTATATGTACTCAATAATGAAATATGAGATATATTACCTATATTATTTTCAATTGTTTTAACATTCTTTCGTGAGATTATGACAAGTTTGTTTGAATGATGTTCTTCATTTCAAAAATATGAGTTATATTTTTCTTTAACTATGTAATTTCTCTCCTCACATATAATTTATAAGTGAAATAGTCACTAAAATTAGAAGTTTTCTATTCTGAGAGTGAATCCTTNCCTATGTAATTTCTCTCCTCACATATAATTTATAAGTGAAATAGTCACTAAAATTAGAGGTTTTCTATTCTGAGAGTGAATCCTTTGTGAGATTTTCGTCAAAGAGCATTACAAGCAAAATTTGGGAAAATACTAGTTCTACGGGCTGGTCTTCTACTGGTTCAATTATAAGCAAAAATTGATTCTACCAATAGAAGTAAAGCAGAGACCTATTCTACCGATAAGTGAGTATTGTTCTACTAGTAGATTGAAGATAAAAATATGTTCTACCAATACAAGAACAAGACAACCAATAGAAGGAAAACAGTAAATAGTTCTACCAGTAGGTCGTTTTGTGCTTCCCATCGGTAGGTTAGTACAATTTTGCTGCGAGGATTCCCTCTCCCAAGCATTGATTGACTAAATTTTCTGGGAAATCTTTCAAGATCTTCCAAAACTTTATTAGAGGAGCAAGAGACAAGATAAAGAAGGGACAAAATATTGTAGGAGATATTTTGGAGATTTTTTAGGAATAAGAGTCAGACATAAAAGAAAAGAAGATCTCTAAAAATTAGTCATATCTCTCTCATTCTCCTATATTTTATTTGTCATACATAAAATTAGTCATATTTTATTTTCAATTCCGTTAAACAATTTACAGTATTTTATTTCTTTTCTTGCAATTGTTTTTCAATTTCAATTTCAATACAAGTTTTATTTATTTGATTTAAATTACCATGTCTTTTATACTTGCTTTTAATTCAATTTACTTTATGAGTGAGTGGTTGTTTACCGGTTTAATCAGATGAAGTAGTCTTATTCGTGAATTGGAGATTTTGACTCAAAACTAGGTCTTGTCTACTATCGAGTTATTTGAGTTAATTGAATGATTTAAATTGAAGACGCTATCAATTTGTATATCTTCTTGCTTACCAGTCGACAACTAAGACTTGACACGGGTAATTCTTGTAATCACTGCCATTAAAGTGAATTCCTTTTAATCACTTTAATTATCTTGAATTCACATTTGTCATTTATAATTGTGTGTTAAACGAATATCTCCCGCTTGAGTGTATTTGACCACAATCTTAGGTGAGTTATAAAAGTTTGAGTTAGAATGTCTATTCACGGTGAGATAAACTCTGAAGATTAACCGATTGTCTTTAATTATTGTCTTTTTGTTTACTTTTTTTCAAAACCCTCTTTAAAATTCAAGATTTTTATTTTTCTTTGCTCGTCACCTTTTATATTTGCTCTTCTTTTTTCTTGTGGAGACAACCTCGGTAATCGACCAAGTTACTAAACGATAATCTTCTAGTGTTCGGGAAACCTTGATTTTTAACCCACTTTTAAGAGCAAGTATTATGTATTAGGTTTCTTTCATTTCATAAAAAGAAAGATGCAAATGTACATAAATAGTAGATAAGAAATCCACCCAAACAGTGGATTTCTAATGCAAATGTACATAAATGATGCAAGGAATCCAAAAACTAATACTTTTTCCTATTTTACAGATTAGCACAAAAGGAACAATCTAATAGAGCATTCCCCAACTCTGTCCACAGCAGGGATTAATTCATCATATAGAACCCATAGATCATACATGAAGAAGATTCAATAAATAAGGAACTATTTTATATGAAGAAGATTAAATAAATAAGGTACTATTATGACAGTTCCCAAGTGCAACAAGCATTCACCTCAGGAGCAAGATTGCCAACGTAAACAGTGGTATACTGAGAATTGTTATCTGGAGCATCATTATTAATCTTTTCTTGACCATCTTCTGCACAAGGATTTACAGTGGATGTCAGATTTAATGTGAAAAATATAGAAATGCATGAAGATCATATCTTAAGTAACCACTTAACAGCAAACAATTAATTTACTCTTTCTTGAGTTCTTTATTTTAATATGTAAACAATAGATGTTTTAGTTTAAAACAAGCAAGCATGGACATAGATGTACTGGACTACGTAACACCAGACTTACACATACAAGTAAATTTCAGCCAACACAGATGTACGTTCAATTTCATTTAAGACCTGACCTGACGTTCCATTTGTTAGTTCCACAACACTTTTGGCATCTGAATTCTGCTTATCATCGTTGATGCCGGCACCCTTTGTCGCCCAGTTGCATCGAATTTGCCTGCTTCCAAGCCACTTTCCTGTAACATCAAATAAAGAGAATAGCCGTGTAATTGAGAAAACCAAAATATCAAAAAAAGAATGTTGATGAACCCAACTTAAAAGTCCTCTCCCAATAATACCTCTGTAGAAGGTGGGAGGCATAACTCCAGTGACGATTTTATAATTAATACTTGCATAGTTTGTTTAAGTCATCCTCGTCATTCAAACTAAAAGCAATCCATGCAAAATGAGTCTACCAATTCTCACCGGTCTTGGCTCCTCTCAGAAGAGACATTCACATACTTTTTGAAAACCACTCTAGGCAATGCATTAGCTTCCCCAAATGAAATTAGTTTAGATTTATGATCTTTTTAATTTATGAAGTTTTTCAAATGTTGATGAATCACTTAATGAATTATACAGAATTGCTACATTTTAAGCATTCTCCCAAATGCAAGAAAAGAAGAAGAAATGGACAAAACAAAGAAGTAAGAAAGATTTTACCAAAGTGGTAGCTCTTCTAATTCGCTATGGAAAAAAACAGAATCTCAATAGAGCAAGAAACAAAAATAGAACAACAACCATGAGATGAAAATTTCCTCACCGGTCAAATCATTTATCGCACTTTGGGCCTCCTGGGCAAATAAAATATAAAATAAGGTGGTTAAATGTGTGAAAAAGAACCAAGAAACAAAGAACATAAAATCTACTGAGAGGAAAAAGAAGAAAAAGAAGAACAATAAACAATTTAATAAGTCCATCCCGGTACCTGTTGATTTCGAAAAGAAACAAATCCAAAGCCTCTCGAACGCCCAGTCTTCTGATCCCACATAACCCTTGCATCTCTGTAACCAACAGTGTGCAATTCAAATTTGGAGTCTTACACCATAATTCACTACAAATACTATGAAGATGAAAACAAAAGGCAAGGAAATGGACTTACGAGCAACTAGGATAGACCGAAAAGGAAGTAAACAAAGTGGCATCAGTAACCTCTGGGCTAAGATCACCAACAAAAATGTTGAAGTGACCTAAAAGCCAAGATGAAAATAGCATAAGCTATCAACAGATTAATGTCAAGAGGATCACTGGATTAAATTTTGTGACACAAGAAATGTGATAAGCATATAGGTGAATGGAAATGGACCTGATGTATCCTCTCTCTGAGCACTGGCATATGCCCAGTTAACTTTAATAGGCTGGCCAAACCTGTAAACTACAAGTTTAGATAAATTACCAGCAAAAACATGACTAGCACTTATTGAGATTTCTACTCACAGATGCCTTCCATTAAGAGTCACGATGGAAAGGGCAGCAGATCTGCGATCAAAGTAGTCCACAAATCCATAGGATGACTGCATATCAAGAAACATAGCATCACCGCATCAGTAGTGATACGATCCAAATTTTGCTACACAAAAGAATTTTTTCTTCCACGTCGCTTTGGTCAAAAGATTTTCCCTGTTCTAGATGCCTCCACACTTTTTTCTCTCACCATACCATTGCTAATCTACTTGATTTAGAGGGTTGTTGTGTAAACTCATATCTCATTCCTACTTTAAAAGCTGCGATTTCTAAAAGGGGATAATAATATGGGGAGAGAGTTAAACAGTATATGAAGTAACTTAATGTCAGTGTCAAAATGGATCATGTATCACAATCTATTCATAAATTAGAAATATGTTCCATTGCATCCAGCTGATAGAGTTGGATGAGTTTTTCTAATGGCATAAGTAGATTGGGATGTCAGTCACAGACAATCCAGTAAAGAAGAAATCTCAAAAACTAACACAAACAAACCTTCTCTTTTCTAATGAGCTTGCATCCTTCTATGGGACCAGTACTTAAGAAAACCTCTTGTAGAAGCGGTTCTGTAACCTGAGGGTGGATATTTCCAACATATCTGTGCATTATAAACGTTCAAAATTAATAGTCACAATGATACTAAGTGCATAAAGACTTTGAATCTAGTCACATATAAAAATTCACATAAAGACAGAAACATATACAAAGATATGATTCACACGATTAGCAAAGAGAATGTAACAAAGCACAGCTATAACACTAGAAAATTGCAGAAAAGAAAAATTTTCTTTTATGTCAGCGTGTAAAGTTTGCTAACTGCTAATATCCAATGTTAATAGATAGATCACGTTAAAAGAAAATGCTAAGAAGGTTGACCTAGAAAGCAACTATGTTTCCAATCAGAATGATACAAGTTACCCTCAGTTGAAAAGAGTGTACAAACTGGAAAAAACAAGAAAGAAGAAAAGTATAAAAATAAATGTAAGACACTCACACACTGCGGCATGAACTCGAATCAAAACCAGGAGGAAGATTTCCACTCAAGATAGGCTCTATCTGCAAATGTAAAGGATAAAAAGTAAAGAAAAAAGAAAGAAAAATTCCAAATGAAAAACAACTACACCCACCAAAAGAAAATCACATACGCTAGAAGGGAGGGGGACTCAAGGAAACACCTCAATATACTCAAGCACTTAGGGTTAAGTAATGTGGCATCCTTCAACACTTACAATTGCAAAATTTGAATATTAACCACTAACTGATTACCCAAATAAATCCTAGGAGGAAGAAAAAGTTACATGCACACAATCATCCATATAATGATCTAGAGAAAAAAAAAATCCAAAAAGATCCCCAACCTTCCAGTGAGTTGCCACGGGTATAGAATATCAATATACTACCAATAATCGTGCAGCTCATAATATTGAGTCTCAACAAAAAAAAAAAAAAAAATCAACACAAGTAAGCCACAAACCTGTAACATGCTCAGTTTAACAAATAGTTACGTTTTTTTCTTCCTCTAATCACGGGTTAAGAAATATTAAAATACTGACTCCAATTTCTTTTTGCGCCACATTCTCTCGGCAGCTAAACAGTTATAATATGAATCACTATTCCATCAAAAAGGAAGGCCTTTGCAATACTACTACAATACAAGATAAGATTCGATCTCCCCCCAGACCAAGTCTCAAAATTATCGAACAGGCTGTAAAATTTTCCCAACCGAAATAAAAATCAATACAAAAAAACCGAAAAGCAATGCTAATTTCGCTGAAATACAAAGCCAGACGAAGAGACACAAGAAATCATGTGAGGCAATACTCTGTTAGAAAGATAAACGAAACCAATTAAAAATGCAAAACCAGAGAGAGAGAAGGGGACCTGAGGAGGCGCTAAGAGACCGGGGTGGTAGAGAGATTGCTGCATCAATTCTTGTTGCTGCTTCAGCCTCTGCTGCTGTTGCTGCATCATCTTCTTCTTCTACTAATATAATACCGAATACTATATTGCAAATAGAGATTAAAAAAAAAAAGTAGACAGAGAAAGAGAGACTTAGGGTTTGATTCGAGTAGCTAGGTAAAGGAAAGAAGAAAAAGAAAAATATAAAAAAATATAAAACCTCGAACGAGAGAGAGAGAGAGAGAGAAAGATTGTGTTCCCTGGACACTTGTTGATGCAGATCTTATGAGGGAGGGAGGGCTGTCACTTTTGATCCAGTACATCCGTTATAACCTTATGTGTTTTGCAATTGGTTTCTAACCTTAGCACGAGATTTGGGCTTGTAGTCCAGGTGTAAAACCTTAATAAGAGATTTGGGCACCCCATAATGAGGCCCAGAATCATTGTACCTTAAAATTAAAAAGGCCCTGCCACCCACAGTTTGAGGTCGACCAGGTCTAGGTCGGGGTAGGTTAGGCTTCATTGAATCTTAGATGAGTTTAGGGGGCTTGGGCTAGCTTTTGGGCTTGGTGAACTGTTGTGCCTGTGCCTTGGCCTCTCAGGCTTGGGTTGGGCCAGATTTCTGGCCTTTTGACTACCCAAGGGCAGGCCTATTCGAAAAGGCAGGTTGGGAGCAATGCTGCATATCTATTTTATTTTTATTTTTTTTTAAAGAAAGAGAAAATTTTATTGATTAAATCTCAAAAATTACAAAAATCAAAAACAGAAACTATTTTAACAGTAAACTGTTTAACAAAAACCATAAACTGCTAGGAACAGAAATTCTGTTTTTATTACAGAATTCTGTTAAAATAGACAAAACTGTTTGTGTTCCTTCTTCTGTACAGTCTGCAGTATCTGCTGCATTCCTGAATTCCTCAGCTCAATCATACAGCCAGCAGCACCTTCTGATCCTCCATTCAGCTCTTGAGCCTTCAATCAGTCCTCAAACTGATTTTGATACACAGCAGTCTGCCTAGTAATACAAAACCTTGCAGTAACTAGCCATAAGCTGCAATACTTCTCTGCAACCAGCTGCAATGATCCAGCATTTCCTGCATCATTATTGGGCTGTTAATCGAACTGAGCAACTCGAGTTCGGCTTGAGTTCGGCTCGTTTTGGACTTGTTCGAGTTTGTTCGAATATTGTAAACAAGCCGAGTATAAACATAATTTTAGGCTTGCTCATAAACGAGCTGAGCTCGAACTCGAATCCGAGTTGCTTAACAAGCTTGATAATTTTTACCTAGTTTTACTATATATTTTTTAGTGGTTCAATTATAGCCATCCATTCCAAATCTCTACTAAGATCCAACGGTGAGGACAACATATATATTAACCTGTCTAACCCTAATACACCCCAAACCCAAATTTGAAGGCGCTGTTCTCTGAAGCCCAAAGCGGTGAAGCCTCAACTCCATCTCTCGTCTGCCACAGTGCCACTTATCGTCGATTCTTCAGAGATTCTTCATCATAGTACAACACAAAAGGTCTGGTCCTCACGATGATTGTTCGTGATTGTTCGTGAAATCTCTCTCGTCCATCTCTTAACCCAAGATCAGGTACAACCCAAAATCTCTAGTCTATCTCTCGTATGTTACAGTTCATTCTTTGTCACAGTACATTATTATTAAGTTTATTGAGGCATCGGGAGTTCTAAAATTTCGTAGTTTCTTTTAATTGTGACAAATGCTACTACACTGCCCTGCATTCATAAGTTATAACTCTGACAGAAACAATATAATTATATCTTACCTTTTTTGTTTCTGTTTTTGGAGGGGTAGTTTTTTGCTAATAAAAGCTTGGCAATGGCAATGCTTTGAATGTGGAACTCTTCCGAAATTTGTTGATTTCCACTTCATCTCCTTCCAGCTTCTTACTCATAAAACATTTGTTAATCGACCATCCGCTGTGTTACTGCGTATATATTTCTCAGTCTACTATTATGAAGCTTGAATTCGATTTCTTTGGTCAAGCTTTATATGAGCTTGATAACATAAAACAAGCCTAATCAAGCCAAACTTGAACTTTTCATTTTTTAGTCAAGCCGAGCTCAAGCTAAAAAAAAAATTTAATGTTTGAGCTCAAGCTGAGCTTGAACATCTTCCTAAAATGTCAAGCCGAGCCTGAGCATGGTGATGTTGGTCGAGTTTGGCTCGATTATCACCCCTAATCATCCAACCCCTTGCCTTTGGTTACAAACCACAACTTACTTCCTCGTTGCCATAGGTAGCCCAAACTGATCCTGATGCAAAAGCTGTCTGCCAAACATAGGCAGACTGCTATGTGTTGAGAATTCAGAATATGTTCCAGTCTGAACTAGTAAAAGAGGCCAAAAAATCAGCAATCACATTTGCCTCCCTGTATAAATGCCTTAACTGATACTTTAGTCTGCCAAGAAGCTCCCAGATCTGCTCCATATCCCCTTGCGGTCTCCAAGGGGAATGTACGTGGAGTGATTCGGGGCTACTTGAGGTCCATCTTGTACCAAGTTCCTTATTATCAAGTAGGTACATACCACCGTGTTTGATATGACCGAGTTGATACCTACTGAGTTGGACTATCCTGAACTTCATGTTCCTAGGCTGTGGCCCATTTTCGTGATGAAGCGAGCGCTCTGCAAGTAGGCCATTAAGGTTTCTCTTTAAAAGGGATTTGTTGGATGTTTTGGATTTCAAGAGGACGACCTAAACTTAAATCCATCATTACTGAGGATTATAATTTCTCAGAGCAATTAATGGTTTAACATGTTATTATGACTATAATTTCTTAAAACTTTGATTCATTCTCAGCATTGAGCGTCTCTATTTGTATTTGTGTAGATTGATGCACCATATTCGATCGATGTGATCATTTTAATGCACTTGGTTGTATGTTTTTTCTCCATGTGTGATTATTTTGCTGAGAAATTGATGTACATTGTTAATCAATTAGAAGTCTGACCCACTTAACCACCAAGACGGTCAATTTTTTTTATTTTTGGGAAAGTTTATAACGGTCAAATTTGGTTGGGTGGACACGTTAGTTAATCCTGGTAGGTGGATTGGGCTAGGCAGATATCTAACTAGTAGGGTAGGTGCAATAATGTTTGTCACAATATTGTCCCAATTAGGTTTTGCGTAGCATAAGTTTAGGATTCTGGGCACAAAAACTTGGTTTGCGGAGGACTCATTCAAAATCGATTCGTGCAATAATAAACGAGTTAAGTTTTTCAATTTTTCGATCTCAGCCTAAACATGACTTTCTCTATTTATTAACATCTATGTATTATTATATGAAAAATCAAATTTCTTAAAGGTTTGTCCAAGACGGAGTAAATAGCATAAACGAGTTTGATCTAAACTTTGCTTGAAACTAGTTTAAAATTCTACTTATACTTGATCTACTTACTAGTCAGCTCTAATGGGTTATACTCAAATTACACATTTCTTAATTTGATAACATTCCATTTATTGAACTTCTTGGTCAATAGAGCTGGAAGATTATGAAATATTTCATGTTGGAGTGGGGGGTCAGAGAGATTGCTTGAACTAATTAAATGGCCTCCTCGCTTGAGTTTACTTGTACATGTTGGCTTTGCATGGAGTAATTAGAATGGTTACCTACTTACGGGCGCATACATTGTCGGGTTGGCATGTATGTGTATTAGGAGTAACACGTGTATGAATGTACGATATAACGTAAATAAGAAATAATGAATTTAAGGGAGAAAATTTAATATGAATGATTTTGAGAGAAATGTTTGTGGCCGTTGAATAAGTCTAATTAAGACCGTCAGATAAACTTATTGAAGTATGTCCTATTTTATATTATAGATATTGAATCTGCATCAAACATTTTTTTTAAATGTAAGTGGGATTAACTTTTTTATGAGACAAAACTGGTTGCATATTTTTTTTTTCCGAATACAATATACACATCCCGAAAAAAATAAAAATCTTTCCCGCTATAAATAGCAGATTAGGATATACCTTACTGGTCCTTACACATGAGGAACAGGTGGAAGACATTATATATGCTGTATCATCCAATGTAATATTATTTCATTATGAGGAATTAGTCAAAAAAGGTGGGTGAGCCCCTTCGCTACCGACTTCCACATGGNTATTTCATTATGAGGAATTAGTCAAAAAAGGTGGGTGAGCCCCTTCGCTACCGACTTCCACATGGGCATGTGAGGTCTATAATAAGAATCCAACTATACTCCGTAGCCATCAGGAAGTATGTCTCCCTCTTTCTGTTGATAAAAAGTAACAAGGCTAGACGTGAACAACGTGACAATTTATATTTATGATAGTAGTTGTCTACTTTTATAGCGAGTGGGTGTGTGGATAAATATGAACACCTAATCCTTGCCTACCACTTCGACTTTGTCTTAGTCTATATCTATTTTATGTACACCATCACTTACTCAACACTGTTTTCCCCTTTCTTTCTTTCTCTTTATTTTTTTCATTTTTCTTTTCTAAAGTAGCCCACTATCGTGTTTCAATATTCAAATTCGCCTGCTTTTGACACACACCATTCAACAATGGTAGTCTGGCTGGTTGGTTAGAGTCCCGATCTTTTCTAATGGTCCTGGGTACAAACTTATTCACCGGCGATAATCATGTCAACCAAATATTATTGAGCAACATTCAAACCAGATATTATTGAAGCAGTTGAACGTTCAATTTATTCTTGGTAGTGACAGATTCGACCATCTCATAATAATATGGCTCAAATTGAACATTTTACATTAAGTGAGAACCTCAAAATAACGTGTTAGAGAATATTATTATGTCTCAAAATTAATCAAAATGCGCATAAATTGGCCCAACGCCCTTAATCTTTTAACCTAGAAACAGCTCAAATGGTCCTCACCCAATTCCATGGTCACAAGTTCAAAACCATTAACATTGAACAGAAAAAATTGCTGAACAAATTGAAGTGTTCTGAGATGTTCAAGTACATCAATGCACCAGAAAAAATCGAATATAGTAATAAGCACTTCATTCAAATTTGTAAGCTGCGAGAATTTCAAATGATATAATTACATTGGAATAATAGTTAATATCTAAGTAAAGCCAAAAACCAAAATGCCCCCGAGAAAGGGAGAGTAAATCATAATAAATAAGCAATTAATCCTTCAATCGAAAAAGCAGGCTAAAAATGGGGCTGAACATGCAGAGGCGATTGAGCAGCTAAGCCAATCCATGACCTTCTTTCAGCCGGCTTAGACAAAGGAACAGCAGTCGAATCGCTTATTTGGTATGGTGCTTTTGAGTTGATCCTGTAATGGCATAAAATAATCGGCAAAGATCAATCACATGGAATGGCATAGTGTTATATGAATGCAAGTCCATTACAATTTACATTGTGTTTTCAAATATGAAGGCGGGCCCACCCAAAAAATTACATGAGCATTAAAGCAATCATCAAACACAACCTCTATTGACTCCATTAACAAAACCCTTTTCCCACATACAAAAACAAGAAAAAAAGGAACTACATTTGACCAGGAATTCCATTCACCTAGGTGACTAGTGAAGCTAATCAATCTCATATAATCAAAAGAATTTTGCAATTTATGTCTTGCTTCGTCATTGTTTTTTAATTCCTACCTATCTTTTCTCTTCTCCAAAAAGCGGGTGAGTGAAGCTTTCCTTTTAATTGGTAGATCTGCAATATCAAAAGAAAACATTTTATGAGATTTCTCACAGCATATCCAGATAAAGATGCACACATTCTATATATCCTGAATGCAAAAATATATTTACCAGTAACGATGGGCTGAGCCGACAGTTGAATGCCTTCTTGGACCATATTATTGCCAAAATGGGGCACAACATTTGGGGCGGGGGTAATCAAATCCGTAGATTCACCTGGTTTCCTGACCAAATTAGAAGCAGGAGTGTTGGAATCCTGCGAACTTTTGCTAGCTAATAGCATGATTTCTTTTGCCTTCTCCGCGGGGAAATTATTGAACACGATCACTTGACCACCATAGAATATTGTCAAATTGTGGTGTCTCTACCTCAGTCTTGTTCACACTGGCAAAACAATCGAATCACACAAAATACAATCAGTAAATTAACAGCACAAATTCCTTAATGCAATAGGGTTTATTTATTGCTATTACTGCATGAATTTATGGTTCAATAATTAGCAAAATCCAATGAAATTTAGTTGATTACTTCAAATCTGAAATTCTTCATTAGTTTAACCTTCGGGATACTCCGTTCACGACAGTTGGAGAAGTATTTTACTTATAAGGCAACAATGCCGTTAGAGAAATGGGCAAACTACAGGAAAAAACCCAATAGATAAGTCCCCGTTACCATGGGCAAAATTAAATTTAACACACACCTGAAATCGGCCGTCTTTGGGAGTTCTTCCTTGGTAAAGCTGGAACCAAAACCAGCTTGCTGAGGGAACAAATTCATAGTCGGCGTTGGCATCGAAGCGACTCTCTGACGACAAGTTTTCGCCATGCCTGCAAACAAACATTTCCAACGATACATCAGATCTCTCTCTCCCTCAATTGATTACGGGAAAAGAAAAAAACCAAATCATAGCGAAATCTGAAACCAGAACTTGCGATAAGTGAATGAGGAAAATAAGAGATTCATACCGTTTGATTCCAAATTGCGATTCATGTCAAGGCTGAGATCTCCGAGCGAACCGTTCTCTTTCAAGTACTGACTCAAGCGACTACACTTCTGAGAGAAGTTCAACTTCTCCGATGATCTTGCCGGCATAAATCTGCCAGATTTCAAAATTTCCGACGAACTCGACATAATTACCGACGATCTAAAGCACAAATCTATTTCCCTTCAAACAATTACTCACGTAAAATCAGTGAGCTGAATTGGTATCGAAATCTCTTCAGTGACTCAAAAAAGTCTTTGCAGGTGAGAGGCGTGAAGGGATATTGTTTTGGGAAGCACAAGGATGGAGTAGTGTATGGAGCCGGGGGGGTCTTTTAAGCGGTGCTCAGTTGGTTGCTTTTACCCGGGGGACAAGGATTGTTTATTATCCTCGAATTTTTTATTCTTGTCGTCACGTTTTTCTTAAGGTGTACGAATCGTGTTTGTCTTCCAACACACGCCGCTCTTATTTTGCTGTGAATTCACGTCTTTGCCCTCGTCCTTTTTACTAATTTTCCTTTTTTTTATTATTATTATTTTTCTTGCTTTTTGGCAAAGGTTGTACAAAATAAGAAAAACCGTTACTCCACTTAAAATAAGAATCCATTATAAGTTATAACATTTTGAGTTTAAAATTTGATAATTTTTTTAAAGTCAGGTCATGTGTAATTTTATCTTTCATGAATTACTTATGCTCCATTTAATAGGAATGATGAAAAGTAAGAAGGATGAAAAATAGAAAGGATACACTTTTTATCCTTTAAAAATAAAAAGTAAGAAGGATACACTTTCATTCTTTTGTGTTTGGTTGGATGGATGAAAAATAAAAATGATTATTTTTTTTTTTGCTGATTAACATTAGGGGTAACAATCAAGTCCAGATAAGTCGTGTCCTGTCAGATTCGTGTTGAGTTATTATTACGAGTTTACGAGTCAAACCTAACTTAACTCATTTAACTAATTGTGTCGTGTCGAGTTGCGAGTTCACCTGTTTATTTTCGTATCGAATTCAAGTCGTGTCATCGTGTTAAGTCGAAAATTTTCACCATTTACCATTGTATTTTTATATAAAATTAATGTATACATAAAATATATAGACAAATAAGATACATCTCAACACAAATAATTAATTTTTCATTCACTTTTCTTTTGATTTTAGAGGGATTGATTTTGGTGAATTAGAAGGAAAGTTAATTCATCCATTTTTCCTTCCTTCCTACTTTCCTTTCTTACCAAACATGATATTTTTATTTATCCCTCCAACTTTTCATCATCCCACTTTTTCATCGTACCAAATAAAGCATTAGTTCTGATATATGTGATTTGTCTTTAACTGAACCTGAAAAAAAATTAATTAAAATATACATAAATTAACTTGAACAATTCTAACCATAATACAAAAAATAAATGTTAACTACCTTCTTAGTAATGTCTAAAAGTAAATTCAATCTAATTTTTCAAGTCAAACTAAACAAGTCAGAATACTTGACTAGTACTTAAATATATATTTTATATTTTTTGAAACAAAAATATTATTTTAATATATTTACGAGCATTGCACGTCTTGCATTGCTAGCGACGTCTAAAAATAAACTAAATCTAATTTTTCTAGTCAAACTAAACACCAAGTCAAAATTATTGACTGGTAATTCACCATTAATTGCCATCCCCCCCTCTCTCTCTCTCTCTCTCTCTCTCTCTCTCTCTCTCTCTCTCTCTCTCTCTCTCTCTCCTTGATTTGTTTATGATAATTTTTCTACATGTGACTCCATTGCATCTACACCTAATAGATTCCGCTTATTGGATTAAGTAAATCAGTATATATAATGTAGGTTCATGTACATAATTAATTATTGAAACGTGTCTTTGCTTGATTCCTTCTATAATTTAAGCATAATTTAGTAACCCTAAAAGTTTTTTGATGTTATTAAAAAAAGGTAATAAAATGGGCTAACTTTTCTAAATAATTTTCTTTTTTTCATTCCACAGTTCGGGGGTATCGGGTTCCTTACGGACATCTCGACTAATTCTTTTTTCAGTTTAATTAAAAATAAACTATCAACACCGGGATATAAGTATTTATGAAGAATAAATTCATCATGATTTGACTCTAAAAAATTACTAAAATTTAAAATCAAGACATCTAAATTTAGTAAATTGTGTTATCAAATTGTAAGGTTGTTTGAACTCTCAATTACTCTTATTTTAGTTTTTGTTTGGCTAAAACGATAAATGGATTAACTCGTCTAGATTATATTATACACATTTACACAATTTAATTCGATTACAATTAACTCGCTAGAAATCTTTTACAATGACATTTGCGTTAGGACTTTAAAAAAAAAATCAATTCTAACTCTATCGGACCGAGTAATTATCGAAAAGTTTATGATCAATACCTATTAACTTTGATGAGTTATAATTATATTTAAATTTAACTATAACTTGTTGAAACGGTATCAAAAAGTATCTTATTCGAAATTTAAACATGTGTAATTGATTCTTGCCAACGTGCCACAATATTCGATTCTTATCAGTAACGTTGAACAATGATACTGAAAAACAAAATATCTCTATTGTTTAACCAATACAAAATTACACATATAATTTTTAAATTATTCACAAACGGCGTTAGGTGTGCTCTCTCTATTTCTATTCGGGTTGTGCAGTTACCGAAGTGGGCCACCACACACGGTTCCCTAACGTCGAGGGTTAACGGAAAACTTATTATTGAGTGGTCCTGGCCAAAACGGCAGGTGCACGTTCTTCCCACCAACTCCGCGACGCCACGTGTCCAACAATTCCGCGTGAAGCAAAATTGAAACAACGCGGATTATGTTGATTGCTGCCCAAGGCGGGTAGGTGCACAGTTGCCACATGCTTAGGACACCTAATCGGGCGCCACGTTTTCGAAATCACAACAATTGGTGGAGTAAGACAGAACATTTTATATCATCGTGATTGTGATTGGTCAGGCTGGAGGAAAAAAACACAAAATGAGAGTGTGGATCTTCTTTAAGCAAGTAATGAAACGAGCGTGGGTGGATTTAATAAAAAAATATATATGATATAATTTGTTTACATATTAATTATATTTAAGTTATATACGATGCAAATTTAATATGACACGAAATAATAAATAAATCGAATATAGATAAAGTGTTTATTTTACTTGAATCAACCAATACTCGATAAAACTCGTTTTACTCGACCTGATTGACAAGTATAATTGTAATTATTATATCATGTTAATGTTGTCACCTGATATAACTATTCAATGATAACTCAATAAATTAATAAAAGTAGATTTTATTCTTTTGTATAATTACTCTCCATTTAAGTCAATATAATCCCCTATATATATATATATATATACTAGTTATTATCTGTGTCTGAAGGCACAGAATAATAAAAAATAATAAATAATAAATATATTTGTATTCATATCTAAAATTAAATCTTAAACATAAAGAAGAGATATAGGAATTTAAGCATCGATTTTTATAATGGAGGTGAGAGATGGTGGACAATAGTTGTGATGGTAGTAGACAGTGATGGTTGTAGTGAGTGGCAATGACCGTGGTGGCAACGGTTGCGACGATGATGGTGGTGGTGACGACGGCAAAAATGGTGGTGGGGGGGCCGACAGTGGTGGGGATGGCGGCGGCGTCGATAGTGGGGGTGGGGGACAACGGTGGTGTGCGGTGATGGCGGCGATAACGATGGGTGATGGTGGCGGCAGTGGTAACGATGGCGGCGACGATAGGGGTGGTGGTGGTAGAGATAGTGATGGGGCGGCAGTGGTGGCGGCGGTGATGGCGATGGCGATGGTGGTAGTGATGATGGTGGCGACGGTGTTGGTGGTGGTGGTAGTTGTAGCGACGACGGTGCTGGTGGTAGAAATAGTGGTAGGATGATTTTAAACACTATTTTTTTTAAGTGTTTATGAGAAATAATTTTTAAAAATACTTTTAAAAAATCACTTCAAACACACCCTTAAAACCTTATTTTTTGTATTAAATTTAAAGTGTTAAAATTAGCCGTTAAATTAACTTTAAAGTAAAATTAAAAGCGATCTCAACGGCGAATAACAAAAGTCATTTTGTTTATCTTTTGATATTTGAATTATAAATTACTTTATTATATAGACTAGTTATTGCATGTGCCTGAAGGCACAAAGTAATAAAAAATGATAAATAATAAAACATATTTGTATTTATATTCAAAATTAAATTACAAACATAGAAAAAATATAAAAAAAATTTAAATATCGACTTATAGTAAAGGGTGAGAGGTGGTGGGCAGCAGTAGTGGTAATAAAAGACGGTGATGACAATGGCGATAATAGTGGTGGTGGTGGTGGCGGTAGCGGCGACGGTGATGGTGGGTGGTGGTGATGGCGGCAGGGGTGGTGTTGTTGGTGGTGGCGGCAGTGGCGACGATGACAATGGTGGAGGTGGCAGTGATGATGGTGGTGGTGGTGGGAGGGGGTGGTCGTGGTAGCGGTAGCGGTAGTGGTGGAGCGGTTTCAAACACTATTTTTTTTAAAAGTGTTTATGAGAAATAATTTTTAAAAATACTTTTAAAAAATCACTCCAAAGTCCAAACACAATCTTAGAGACCTATTTTTTTTATTAAATTTAGGATATTAATATTAACCGTTAGATTAATTTTAAAGTTAAATTTAAAATGATCTCAACCATGAATAGTAAAAGTCATTTTGTTTATCTTTTGAGATTTGAATTGTAAGTTACTTTATTATATAGATATAAAACACAGGTTCAATTTGTTCACTTATTTATTTATATTTTCTTATATAATAAAGTAACTTATAATTCAAATTTTAAAAGATAAACAATATGATTTTTTGTTTTTCGCAATTGAGATCGTTTTAAATTTTACTTTAAAATTAATCTAACGGTTAATATTAATATCCTAAATTTTAAAAAAAAAATAGGCCTATAAAGGTGTGTTTTGAGTGACATTTTAAAAGTATTTTTAGAAATTATTTCTCATAAATACTTTAAAAAAAAATAGTGTTTGAAACTATCCCACCATTATCTCTACCGCTGCCGCTACCACCACCACCATCACCGTCGTTGCCACCGCCACCTCCACGACCGGCACCATCGCCCCACACCCACCCCTGC